CGAGTGGGTAGTGTTACCAAGTGCGGACCAGATGATCTCCAGTCGAAAATTTTCCGCAATAATGGCTGAGATTCTTGCAACAAGAACCCGTAACTGGAGCAGTACATAACAACTCATCTTTATTTGTAGAAACTGCTGCCTGGATTGTCTAAATGTATTAGCAAATCACTGTATGATGCAGAGAGAATCATTTTGGGGAGACTTGGTTTCTTGGCCTCGGTTTGACCTAGTAGAGAGGTTGAAGCAGCCACAGGACACCGCAAAGGTTTTGTATTAACACGATACTACTTGAGTGGATACCCAAGCCGGTGCCCAGAAGCTCAAGCCGATGCCAGCTTCTGGGCACTTGGGTACGCACTGAATCGCAACTCCTGCTTACAATGAGGCGCTATTTGTCAAACAAACAATTTGAGGCATCTCGCCACAGCTGGTGAGCTCATACCGGAAGAGATGCAAAATCTGTAGATCTGCCCACTTCGACAATCGTGTTCTCAAATCTTGCTAAAACATACCGTACATGGTAGCTAAAGATACATGTACTTGGCTTTCCTATAGTAGTTTCTGGGGCAGCAAGCTGGCAGCAGGTTAGCACTCTATTCTTTACATACATCACACTTTTGAAAAATTATCAGAGATTACGCCATCGATCCAAAAGGATGTAAGAAATCCCATGCTTACGATTGCATCAGGATAGACTTTGCTTCGGGAAGCAGCTGATACTCCAGTGACGTTTTTTTCGCTCTCCGCTAGCTAGAGTACCGTATACCCTTCGACAACTAACTTTCTGTCTGATGGACAGCCAACAACTAGTCTAAAAGGGATCTGCCTGCAGGCCCACCGCCGGGACCAAGAACTGCAGGAACCATCTCCTGACCCGGCTCAGCTCTGTGCACATGTTGCGGTGTGGTAGATCCAGCCGTCCCTCTAGCTAGAGTAGCTCGACCCTACCGGTACCAGTACTCTAGTTTTGGCAAGTGGCTCAGCCACACCTTCCGGGCTGGTATCGGTACTACTTGTACCCAATGTAGCTACTGTACGTACTCATGATGCATACAAGCAACTTTAATTTCGCTCTCCAACGTGCTTGAGGGTGTCATCGCATATAAGCGCCATTCTTCACAGTGCAAGTTGCGCTGCAAAGTTTTGGTTGATCGACCGAGGACATGCTAGTATTTTAAAAAGCTTTTGGCCTGACGTGCAGGCGGCTGGCTACATGTATGCATACCGCTTTCTTGATTCGACTCGATTCTAGATTCTGTCCTCCTCTACCGGTAGCTAGCTAGAACATACTTGGCTTTCGTATAGTTTCTGGGGCAAACAGACAGCAGGTAACTCTATTCTTCGCATAGTTTTCTATTCGAACAAAACTTTATTCAGAGTTCACGCCATGGTAGATCTTGTGCCCATGGACGTGGATCCAAGCGGATGAGCAAACCCAATGCGTAGTACAGTACGCGTACGTGCATCGCTCCGGATATACTAGTAAACTATAATAACTAACTTTGCTTCTGCCAGCAGCTGATATTCGCCGCCTGGACCAAGAACTCCAGGACCCCAACACCCCAACTCCTGCCCGGTCCAGCTCCACATGGCACACAAGTAGTCATCCAGCCGTCCAATGTCCAATGGTTTTGGTAAGTGGCTCATCAGCCACAGCTTCCGCTGGCCGCTGGCCGTACCAGCACCCAATGAAGCCAATCATTGCATACCGTACGGAGTTGCGGAGAATGGGCTCTTGAAGCAGTTCCTTTTTGTTGGTTACCACCATGTGGGGTTAATCTTCCACTTTGAGTCATGCTTCAGAATTGCAGCAATCTTCCAGATTGTGTCATTCTTCCAGATTCTATCACTTAGTACTGATGGCTACGCGTGTTTACGTAGAACCTTCCAAATTGTGTCATTTTTCCAGATTGTGTCATTCTTCTATTTTCAGTCATTCTTCCAAAAGAAAACAGTGGAACTGCCTGATGAAGATGCAAAACAGGCATTCCCGCAACTCCTACGATACGGTAGCTGGTACGGTAGTCTACTAATTATAAAATCCCAGTACCGTACCGTGCTCCCTGGCTCAAGGAACACGTCGTTGTGTCCGGAAACGTTAACCAGTCAAGAAGCGAAGTGTGGTCATTGCAAGAAAAGATTTAGCAAGACATAGATACCGATAGTCGTGCATGCAATTTCCAGTCGCTCGGTGGCTGGACCAAACAAGAAACAAAACTGCTCACAATTCTGAACGAAAAACACACAACCATAGAAGAATCGAATCATAACAAAGACTCGACAAACTCGAAACAACAACCATGATCCGTCCAATGAGCCAAATCACCAACATCTTCAGCGGTGTCGCCGAAGATGTCCGTGCCACGGCTTCTTCAGCAGCCGCAAAGCTGGAATCGACCACAGCAGCCGCAAAGCTGGAATACAGTGGCCTCTCGACAGCCGCAAAGCTGGAATACAAGGGCTTCTCAGTAAACACCCGCTTGGGTCTCGTCAAACTGGAAGACACCTTTTCGGCACTCGGAGACAAGTTCTACACGGCAAAGGCCCAGAAAGAAAGAGAGATTGAAGAAAAAGATAGGGAAGCAAGGGAGCTTGACAGGATGCAAAAAGATAAGGCAGCAGAGGAGGAAGGAAGACGACAGTGCCTGGAAATCATCCGAAATCACCTGATTGACTATCTAGAACGCAACACAGAGGCAACATTCGAAGAATGGCTGGCGGATCTGCATCCAGAGAATGCCAAAACTGGGGAACTGGATTCTCGTTTTCTCATCCCAGGAAATCCTTGGGCGGCCATTTTTGAAGAGGAGGTCGCCCACAGGCCAAAACCAGCGTGCCCACCAAGAAAGCTTCATCGAGTGATTAGCGTTTGAGTAAACGGTCTGGCTCTCTTCCTCTGGGGGTCATAAGGTCAACTCTGGCCCTATTCCTTCGCTCCTCGTCCTGTGATGGACCGACAGCAACTACAGCAACAACGACATCAGGGCCTGCGAGACCCCGAGATACGGGCCGACTCCCATGTACTGTTTCCTCGACACCGAGGAGATGCTGTCGATGGATTGCATAAGTTATTTAACGCAGCGAATTAGTTTCTGAATTCCGTTGTAAGCCCATACTTCATACGCAGTTGTTCTTGCCAGAGCTTAGACGCAGCAACAACAACCTTCTGCCCACACGAGCGCCGGATACCTGGCAGTCACCATATATGCGTGATGCCAAGCAAGAATGTGCCCCAAGGTCCGGATTCATGTTGTTGGTAACGATGATCGATCAGGATGCCAATAAGCGAAGAAGAACGAATAACAGGAGAATCTAGCCATTACGACGACTGACCTAGTAACAGCACTATACAGGTATCCGCACCTCTTGACAAGCAAGACACCCTTTCTTTCTTCGCAGCTACCCTATCAGACAATAGCTAGAGGAGGCCTTCAGAACAACTTATCAAAGAAACATGCTTGCAGCGAATACCTGGACTTGCACATTGAACCCTCAGAAATCCTGGGTCTTTAAAACTGCTACAGGACAGTGCATTGCTCAACCCGTGGCGATCCGCGATACTTGGGCTTGCCCCTGGACCCAACAATAATGGACTTTTAGTAGGACTCCTACCGGTCAGATGAAATGTACTCCGCCCGTTGACACACCTGTGCCACGGACACAGCCGCAGCAGATCCCAGTGTTGGTACGCGCAACGATGGATCCTCCTTGACGGCTCCCCTTGCTCCAAATTTGGGTCCCTGCCCTCTCCCCCAGGACTCTGGCTCTGTTCACTCTTTGTCCTCCCCTGCTCCTTTGCTCCCGACTGAAGACATGATCCCGCATACATGTAGCCCCTCTAACACACCGTAGCCCCTCTAACACACCGTAGCCATTTCCTTGAAGACAATTTGAAGCTTTCGACTTCTTCGGTGAGGGAGCCATCACTGAGGATGTAGTATGAAGCAAAGAAATCAGAACAAACAAACAAACATGTCACAACACCTATGTATACCGGCTAGTCGAGGCAACCATGGTGAGATCCTGGCTAGACAGAAGATGAAAGGAGGAGGGGGTTTAGAATCGGGAGGTTATTTACGGAAGTCAGCGTGTCCTTCTATTCCCAGCCGGGTAGCTAGTATCATTGCTAATACGAGGCACTGTGCCATAGTTGGTGCGTTTGGTGGCCCTTAGAAACCTGATGCCGTGAATAGCTTTGGGAGCCAGCACCATCCCCTTGCTTCTCGTTGCATGCTGCAGCCCCCACCCCAAACCCCGAGCCATTTTATCCCAGGGGTTGTCACTGGAACCCTACTTGGACAGGCAGTAGTCAGCAGCAGCACCATCACAACACAGAGTACAACAAGAGCAGTCTACTTTGGGCTTGCCTATGCCATCCGTTGGCAAACAGTCAGCAGCCACTTCAAATATGCCCTTTGTGGGGTCAGCCAAAGCACACACAGATGATGGAATGGAACCAGAAAAATCATTCCCATTTACAACAAACCGACCTAGACTTGTCAGAGCAGAAAGCTGTGATGGAATGGTGCCATGGAACTTGTTGTTGGAGATGTCAAAGGTGTTTAGCCTTGTCCAACGTTGCAGTCCAGTGCTGATTGTCCCAGTCAAGCCACAGTTGGAGGCACGAAGCAAAAATAAGTTGGTACATTCTGTAAAGAGTTCCTCCGGTAGGGCACCATCCATATTGGTCCAACTGATATCAAGTTCTCCCAGAGAGCCTTTCAGAAGTCCTATTTCGGATGGAATGGTTCCGTGCAAAGGGTTCCCTTGCAAATAGACCAGGAGTTGATTGTGTCCATGCAATGCTCCAATTTCAGTGGGTAGAGTTCCTGTAAGCTACAAAGCAGAGAAAGTGTGAGCTGTAAATCACCGTTTTGTCTCTTCATCAAAAGTTGAAGATCAAGGAAAGGTTGTCATACCTTATTGTCATGCAAAAAAATTCTGAGATCACTTCCTTTGCCAGTCTGAAAGAGCTCTGTAGGGATGGAACCGGACAAGCTATTTGAACCAAAGTGAAGTGCAATCCCATCAAAGCGCCCAACTTCTGTGGGCACTGTCCCTGTTAGTGAATTGTTTCCAAGCGATAGCAAGGAGAGCTCGTTTCGAAACAGTTCAAATGGAATACTACCAGACAGTTGACTGTTGGCGAGATTCAGCGAAGAAAGGGAAAGGAAGCTGCCATACATGCTTGGAACCAATCCTGTCAGTTGGTTCCCATAAAAGTCTATTTTTTCCAGCGCTGGAAGACTTGCAAGTTCTGTGGGCAGAGGGCCGTTCAATCCATTGTCCCCTAATGATGAAATCAAGCTAAGGATAAGTGCAGGAATAATTTGGTTCTTGTTGTGGTTAGCAAAAATAGAAAAAACTCACTGAATTGCAACTGAGTAATGTTCTTCTCTCCGTCACAAGAAATTCCTGCCCAGTGACATTCATGGGCACCCATAAGCCACCGACTTGCCAATGATTCCCAATCCAAGATTTGAATCCAACATGTTTCATCATTTGCAGTTGTAGATGGCGAACAGGTAAGCCAATCACTCTTCCGGGATGTTTGGAAGTAAGTTAACGATAAGATGAACCTCTGAAGAAGATTGCTGGCATCTGGGTTGAGCTGCAGAGGATCCTCAAACACAATCCAATCAAGAGCCTTGATTTTTGGCTGGTTCGGTTCTGGCTCATCATTGTTGTAAAAATAGTCAGGTCCAAAAGCCTCTTCAATTCTGTTTTGAAAGTCCTCCAAAACAAAATATCGAAATGAAGTGGGAGCCTGAGTCTCCACATCGCCTTCTTTGTTGCTGCAGAGACCAGCCCCACAGATGGAACCAACAATCACTCCAACCATGGGGAGGCCACCAATGAGAACAAGGATCATGAGATTCATAGAAGTAGATCCATTTTTCCGATGTGTATTGTTAGGTCTAGCAAACTGTGTAGGTTCTTCAGTTTCTTCAACCTTGTTTGCCACCGCCAATCCTTCGTCAGAACTATCAGCAACAGACAGCTCATCAGAAGAAGCAGTCGGCCCCAATATCGAACGACTGAGTGTTGTGATTCTCTGGATATCAGTCCCAGGGGCCACTGCATACGCCCCTGGATACATGGTAGCCATATCTGGCAGATTTTGCCCACAAGTCAACCTTGGTTGCGGAAAAGCAAGCTCGTCTTCTATACCACATTCTGTTGACAGAGTTGTGCTGGTGGTTACCTGATGCTGATTCGTTGTTTGGTCTTGGACTACCTTCAAAATATATTCATCTCCAATTTCTTCTTCTCTGGTTTCCTCTCCTGTGGATTTTTCGCCTGGTGTGCTGGGATGATGCCTCCCAGTTTCCTCTCTCTTCGACTGCTGGTCTTCTCCCTGTTGCAAATCCAATTCAAACACTTCCAGTTTTTTGAGCTCCACCTCCATATCATTAGCCACGCCATCCATTACCTCTTCCTCGTCATCCTTTTGGGCTGCAGAAGGTTCCATTTTGCCGAACCTTGATCTGTTTTGACTTCGATAGTGGGAGGTGGGAGGCAACAACAGAAAATTCGGAATGGCAAAGCCCTTCGGCGCAGACATACACTGGTACCGGTAGGGTGGTACCACTATCATAAATAGAAACTGATCATTGTGCGTTCGTAGTCGTAAAAGCCATGTCTGGAGTTCGCATGCAACTTGAAGTGTTTTGGTTCAAGTTACGCATACTTGTACTCAGGCAGCTCTCCCGGCTTTCGTTTGAGTCGTCCACATAGCTAGCTAGCTAGTAGTAGTAGCTAGTATCTTTCGGAATTCCTGGCAGCACTCAGCAATTCCTGGCAGCACTCATCACGCCGTCAGTTACCGCAGTCGACCCATGCTGATATTGGGAGGACTAGCGCTTGTGGCATGACCATTTCAATTTGCCGAGAAGGTAAGCAAAAGCAAACACAAGTTATTGCAGCTCTATATTCTCGAGCATGCCTACTACGCACTGTATGAGCGATGATGAGAGAAGACTATCTTCTTTTGGCTTTGGATGGGATCCAGATACTATTGCAACCTACCGTATGTACAGTCTTACAGTCTTACCATCTATGCATCGGAAAATCAATATCCTTTGGGCAAAAACAGATCAGATCGTCTAGTCTAATAGGAAGGATCAAGTAAGTTGATAGATCGTGGGTGTTACTATGGATTAGAGAGAGGAATATGGTGGTGCCGGGATGAACGCTGGTTTACAGACGTCCGCGTCCAACCTGCCGCGATATACTTTCGATCTGCAGGCAACAATTCTTCTGGTTACATTAACCAAGCTTCTTTACGGATCCACTCTCGGCACTGCAGCATCAGATATTATTGGGAGCAGACATGTCATGTTATATATACAGTAATAGGAAGGAAAGAATGTTAGTTAGTTAGCTAGTTACCAGTGAATGCGGAATGCAACAATAGGAATGCACTTGATCATCATGCATGCAGCATTCCACCATGTCATTAACTGGCTGTGTGGATACTCCTAACAATATCGATAGCAGTCGCCGTACATGTACCGCACTTACCGACGCTCGCGCTTGGCATCTGCCTTGACCTTCTTGGCGGCGGCCTTTTCAGGGTTTGCCTTGGCCTTGTTCTCCTGCTTGAGCTTCTTCTTTTCTCCTTCTGTCAGCTTGGTATTCTTCACCAGCTTGGTAGGTTGGTTGGCTTTCGGCATGATGAGGTACAGTACAGTGGTCGTAAGGTGGTAATAGTGGGTGCTTGGAGTTGTTTGGTGTTGCTTTGGCAAACTGTGCGTTACGGCTGCTGCTGCTGTTACTCCGGTCTTCCGCCAGGATCCCTCCGCATAGCGTCAGTCAGGAACCGTTCGTAGAGGGCTCTGCTCACCACGCAACATGATCCATCCGCAAAGAACAATATTCTGTTTGCCCCCTCTTGGGTTTTGCTCATTCCACCGTCTGTATTTGGTGGCGATCGTCTATCCGCCCTGCTCACGTTCTCTACTAAAAGTGGGGCGTGACTTTTAAAACGCATGACATGGTGATTTACACTGGAGAATTGGCAGATGTCTGGCCTCTGACTTGAGGAGTTCGCACACTATTGTATGAGGCAGCTCTCCCGGCTTTCGAGTGAGTCGAGTCGTAGACGAAAAAGATCTTGCTTGCTTGTGGATATGCATGCATGCATGCCTCTGTGTGACAGGTTGAGACATGGATCAACCAGCAGTTTGTCGGCGGTGACAAAAGATTTAACATTTGTTTGTCGTGCGCAATTGTGGATTTAAGCCCAACGCTGTACACGACACGTTTGATTTGCTAGATGCTTCAGTCAAGCTTGCTCGCAATCCACAAGATCTATCTCGATCTCTGCCTCCAACACCCTCACAATTCAACAGCAAGCTGACAAAACCACTACCAGGTACCACCACCACCACCACAACAACAACAAACAATATGGCCTCTATCCGCCCCCGAAACCGAATTACCAACATCTTTAGCGGTGTGTGCAACAGGGCAGCTGCGCAACTGGAGAGCCTGTCCGAAGAGACCTTTGTGATCCGTCCCCAACCACCGCAACAGGAGCAGCAAAAGTACACGGCTTCCTTTCTCCGTCAACAGAAGGAAATTGAAGACCAAATCATGACGCGCAATGCCCAAAAAGCGGAAGAGGAAGCACGAAGACGGTGCCTGGAGGTCATTCGAAATCACTTGATTTCCTATTTGGAGACGACTCCACCAGAACAAGCCACATTTGAAGAATGGCTTGCGGTTCTGCACCCAGACAATGTCAAGATGGGTGTCCTCGATTCGCGCTTCCAAATACCAGGTAACCCATGGGCAACTGTCTTTGAAGAGGAGATTGCCATGAGAACCAAACCAATCAAACCAATCCTCCAGCGAAGCATCAGCCGGGCCATGGCGGCCTGAGAACTATCTTTGACACCATCTTCCCCTTCCCGTACCTCCTTCACTCTATCGCTCACCAAAGCCAACACTGGTTTACTAACTAACTATATGTAACTGGCTAAACTCGACTCGACTCGATTCAGTCGGGTTGTGAATGACCCTAACCCTTTCATAGACTTGCCCGCTTTTCGTAACGGTTTCGCCTTTATTTTTGGCGTATTGGCGTCCACGAAGACACCAAAGACCTCCATCTCAGCCACTCTGCATTGGTCACCTCCAAGTCCTCTCCAATCTAACGAGTATATGATCTATCTGTTTTGATTGTGGTTAGTAGAGTAATGAGATCAACGAGTATTAGTACTGGTACTGGTAGTGGATCTCCTCGAGTCGGAGGCCGAGTGTATGTGAGCAGTCCAACCAGCACCTTGACAAGTGGGATCAGCCAAAGCGAGAGCATGACTACCATGGGTAACAATAATGGCAATAATAATGATGATAATGGTGACAACAGCCGAACTGGTGGTCGATGGAACTGTCGTGGCTTGACACTGCTATTTATTGGAGGAGTTCTATTGGCGAGCATTCGTCGTGAATTTGCCTTTTTCAAAATCTATCGCGGCGAACATTTGCAATCCTCTTCCAATAATCGAGGCTCGAGTACGACACGACAAATTCTGAGTCAAGCCCAACGACGTGCGCGAACCAAATTCATCAAGACGGTACGATCTGAAGAACAGCCACCACCGTTGGATCTACAAACAGTCCAAGTTGTCAAGGATGAAATCGACAATCTACTCGGACAAGTCGGACAAGGCGACAATTCCATGATGCTCATGGGAGATTTGAAAGCCACCATTCATCAAGCGTTGGAAAATGTCCAAAGTCAAGCCACAGGAACATCTACATCCATTACATCTACATCTTCCACTAGCAAGTCAAAAAGACCCGACGGACTCAAGATTGCCTTTTACATGACGACACACGTCAGTGACTTGCACCTCGAATATTTGCAAAAGTGTTGGCCGGCTGCCATGGCCAAATTGGATATTTTGCAGCATGTCGATCTCATTGTCTACACGTCCAATTACAATCACGACAATACCTTTCAATCCCTCGGTTTTGACAATGTTATCTTTAAACGATACAATGAAACCGTCGACCCCAATATCCCCGATCCCGACAAATTGCCCAATGACAAGAATATGCAAAAACAAGAAGGCGCGCTCCGGGGCATGGTCGATCCGTTTTTAGTTCATCCCGGATCGACCGATTGGAAAACAACACCCGCCCATTGGTTTGCCGATTACGATTGGGTCATTCGACTCAATCCCGACGTATTGATTCGCAACGATACGTGGCTCCTATCGCAAATGCGATCGCCGTCTGTCCAAGGCATTTTTGTCCGATGGGATACCCCCAGTGCCCAACTCTATTTGCATACCGATTTTTCCGCCTTTCGACCGTCTGCCATTGATTACGATGCCATGTTGCTCGAATATCAAACGCAGCGTCATCAAGGGAAATTCCGGGCCGAACGGCACTTTACCTTTGGATTTCAGCACTTGTTAAAACAACAACCAGACACGCCAGCAGTGGCGTTTGTTCCGCGGGTCGTCAAATCAACCACACACGGGGTGGGACATGTGGGGGGATACCATTGTGATATTGTGCACATTCATCCGTTTGTCAAACATTGTCCCGATTACTTTCAGAAACATGACAGAGTCAACAGATTTTATTAATTAACAACACATAACTACTAATCGTTCATTGTTCTACTAATTACACGTAGCAAAGAACTATACGAAACAACACAAAAATGACCGACTCGGTCCCCGCAATAAACTAGCCAGCTACTATCACCTTTACGTTTGGATTGGATTGGGCAGAAAATAAGACACGGCGCGTAAATCAGATACAAAACGTAAAGAGCAAGACCAAGGAAAGATGCATGAAACACGGCGGCGCATGCTACCGTAGCGTGGCAGGTCATTCACTTTCATACAGCAGTAAGTGCTAATTATGCCAAATGGCCATGAAAAATACCATTCCAAAGGGACAACCAGTGGAAAATCTACTAAAGATTCCCGGCTTTTTATCACGCAGTCACTACACAGCCCAACAAATATATGCCCAACTATTCGTCATCAGAGTCGCTATCAGAGCTGCAGTCGGAGCTGCCACCGTCTCCTTTGAGCTTGGCCAACCTCCTCTGAGCCTTGTGCTTTTCTTTATCCGTCAAATTATTAAAACGGCACTCCCCAACAGCCTTCTCGAGCCAGAGAGTTGCTTCAGATTCATCCACGCCTACACCATAGGATCACCCCCTTTGGGTAACATTTGGCTACACCAACACCCCCCAAATGGGCCTCCCCGAGGTACACTGTGCCATTAATGTTCCCAGCCTCATGCGTCCTCTTAGCCCAGTAGCATGCCAATTCGTCGTCTACTTTACACCCTTTTCGGAATGAGTCGAGTCGAGTATAATCAAGGAAAGCAAAGACAAGTTGATTCAATATATAATTTGTTGGAAGGTTTGATTGATTCCACGTAGAAGGCTGGGACTAATCTGCTAGAGCTGGTGAGCCTGTGGCCTCGGTCTTGGATCTGGAGCGATCAGGGGTGTCAGGGCGCTCGAGGGGCGACGAAAGGTTAAGAAATTCTGCGAAGGAAGGTTGCTACAGGAGCGGGATCGTACTGATTGGAAAGGATACTGAAGATTCAAATGTAAAGCACTGGGGTTGATTGTGGTGCGCTATCTATGTCCTTTCCCAGCTATCAGGAAGAGATCGAGGTGCGAGAATAATGAGGTGCTGAGTGCTGCGACAGCGAGTTCAAGCCATTTGGATATCTGGGTCTGGGAAGAGCCACTCGAGTTTGATTCAGCAGCTCGACGGGCTTACTAGTAACTCAATTGGGGGGGGGGACCGGAACACACCATACCGGTACCAGTACTAGCTAGTACTGTACCACTGAAAGGTACCTACTACAGTACGGCAGTACGGCGGCTCTGGAGATAGTGGGAGAATATTGCAAATTGTAGACTCGCACATTTCAACTCCCCACGCCCCTGATTGCCCTATTCCACCACAGGTGGCCTACTTTGCCCAGCTTGCACCCTTCCATCCTTAACCATAACTTATTTCTACCTTGGTCCATCCTACAACAGCAAAAATGGCCCCCAAATTCGAGAATGATTCAATCGAATCAATCGTAATCCTTTGAGTTTCTGCCATGGTTACAGGGGAAACGAAAACTTGACCAAATCCATTGGTGATTTGTTGGCTCCCATTTTGAGATGTTGGTACAAGCAAATGCTGCGCAAGCTGTGGAAAGATGGCTGTAGACTAATGGTACATGTATTTTTGTCTCAGTTGGCCCACGTCGATATTTACACCAACACCGTTTTCATGATTGGTTTCAATGATGACTGACAACGAAGAGCAGTGGCCAGGCACAACAATCGACTGAGTCGAGTCACTCGTCACTCCATTGCAAGCTCCATACCCACACAACTGACTAAATACAAAGTAAGTTGGATGACATGATGATGAATGGTAACAAGGACGCATGCTTTCTGAATGGATCGATTACACTGGCCACCAAACGTAACACTTGGGCAGTACGGTACCAGCCAGCTAGCTAGCTAGCACAGACATTCAATGTCCACCATTGGAGAGGTAACGTGGCCATTCAATCGTTTTGTTCGATCCGTAACCAGCTGAGTAGACTACTGGCTGTACTTGTGAGCAGTCCCGTACGGAAATGGGCACTAGTACTGGTTTGCTGTGCCGTAAACAGTATTACCAGTATCTGAGCTCACGGTGCGAGCTTGTCTTACGTATACATGTACTATTAAATAAATGCCACTCTCCTGAAACTGATGACTACCACGCACGAGTGGAATCTATATTGGTGGGGTACAGTAAATATAAGGATATTCTCAGAGGAATAGCATTTTTTAATTATGGTGTTTACCAGGTATGTGTGGGACAAGAAAGAGATGGAGAGAAAGATGTAAACGTTATCAACAATTCCTTTAATACAACATCATGCATGTTTGTTAAATGTGCTGTGCCTACGTGGCGAACAAAGAAAGCTTGTTACTAGTACCGGTCGGAATGCAATAACCTTGTATTACGGCACGCCTGCTCACCGTGCAGGCTCCAACAATGGCGATACTGGACAGGCGAAATCCAGCTACCGGTACTATAGCCTGCAGCTTGGGGATCCGGAGTGGGTAGGATGGAACCAACTCTCACAAAAACAAAAGCACGAACTCAAAATCAACCACACATAATCCAACACAATGCAAGCTCTATCCAATGTTCGCACCCTTGTCACAGGAGGAACCGGCTTTGTTGGTCTTCGCACTGTCTCCAAACTGCTGTCCGACACCCCTACCAAGCAGATTGGATTGGCCATTCGTGCCGATTCTCAAAAGGCAGCAAAAGCACGCTTGATGAAATTGACTCTCCAACATCCCGGGCTTGGAATCCAGGACCACCTTGATCGCATCGAAATCATTCCGTACAATGGAGCCAATATCCCCACCAGAGAGTATGATGCACTCCTGAACCTGGCATCCGACACAGCCTGGACAAAACCTTTGGACGAAATGCTTCAAGCCAACTGTGCACCTCTTGAAGAGGCAATCACAGGAAAGACAGTACCAAAGCATGTAGTTCATTGTTCAACTGCCTATGCTCGGCCTTTGGAATTCGTGTCAGAGGATACAATCGCAAAAGAGGAGTCTTTTCCAGAGGGAAGCTCCTTCTTCTCCCCGTATGCCCAGTCCAAGTATCAATGCGAACGTATGATCGAGTCCAATGCCGGAGCCACCGATACGTGCTATTCGATTGTTCGCCCGTCTACCGTTGGTGCCAGCGTCGGGGTGGATTCCATGCCTCGTGGTTGGACTACGGACATGAAAGGCTTGGCGGGAGCAATGTATCTTGCAAGCCAAGGCATGACAAGGGCTCCAGTTGAGCCAAAATTTGACTCCAATGTACTACCTGTTGACCACGTTGCCAACACGCTCATTGCATCATTGCTGGAAAATGTGGTTCGAAATAGCCCCACACTGGAATACATTCATGCTGCTCCTGGAGACGAAGTAGGCTTAAGCTGGGGTGATGCTTTCAAGAGGATCAATCCAAGTCTGCCTCTAGTAGAAGACGCAGAACCAACCGCACCCTTTTTCCCCGGAAATGCAAAACTGGATGCTGCTGGCAAGATCTTGTACACGGTTGCTGGAAGACCCTTTCGATTTCAAGCTACCAAACAAGATACGCTACTAAAACCACTCCTCACAGATGCGGAACAGAAGACGTTCTGCATGAAATGGGGTCCAGAAGACAATCTTAGCACCTATTTCCAAGACGCTACAACCGAGGTTCAAAAGAAGCTTGCCGAGAGAGCTGCAGCCAAGAAGCAGAGCAAGAAGGAGTCAGTGAGAGTGGCAGTAAGCTGTAAGCGAACCAAAGCTCAAGTTTCAACGAGCCTGAGTCAATGAGGACACTTGAGCCTTGTATTCAAGAGTACATGTATGTGATAGAGTATTCTTCATGCTTGCCCGCCAAGGGATTGATCATTCGTATGTGGGAAAGGTAGTCCCATCGCAGGTGCGAGACAAGTAGAAGTAAAAGAGTAGAGCTATAAGAAGATAGATCAAACAACGAGAACATAGATCAAACAACGAGAACAGAACTTTGGCAGACGTACTTCAGCTACAGAGATCGAACCAACAAACCAACCTAGCTACAGAAGCAGAATGAAACTTAAGCAATAGCGCTAGCACACGAAGGGAAGAAGGAAATGTTTCCTTCCTATGTACATTTATGAATGATAAGAACTGAAAGATTCGAAGTCGAGTAGAACCAAGCTGCTGGTTGGTGACGCCCTCACTTCAGCCACTCGTTTTGTCTTCCAGGGAGTCACGATATCCACTGGTCCTATCAGAATCATTGCTCGACCGCCTCGTTGACTTGGGATCAGCATTGACAGAGTCCAGGGAAGCAGCAAGCATGACGCGCTTTGTCCGCCTTAGATCGTTTGCTTTCATCACTAGTTTTCATGGCTTTTTTGTTCACTGCCATCATCTTGGAGAGCTGCCAGTCGACCCATTTTTTGAAATAAAAGTTGTCAGCTGTGCGTGCGTGGATGCTGTTGTTGCTCTTTGTTTTTGCAGCTTGGATGGGAATTGTGAGCCCAAGATAGACAGCTAGCTACTAGCCATGTGCCGGTATTCCAGGAGGGACAGTCGACACGTCAAGATCCCCCCTCTTCTAAATGGATCAATCGAGAAAGATGGGTTTCACCGAAAGTTGACATGTCCAATGAAACTTCCCAGACCATCCGCCGCCAGCCACAGTCTAAAATGTATCTCCTTGGCATCCTCGGTCAATTGGGGTCGTCAAAGTTGCTGAAACCAAGTGAAACTGGTTTTGGAGGCTAAGCTATGTATAGCTAGCAAGGTGTCGGGAGTGGTTATTAGGGCTCAGAAAGTACCAACACCTACATGTACATCACGGTAGAAAACCACCGTTCTGGAGTACAGTCGTAGGTCCTCTTGCTGTTGGAGGCAGGTGGTATATTAGATGAACCCGCGAGGAATGATGAGTGAGCCGAACCTCCGGCGAGAGGCGGAGGGAAGAGTGAATACAGTAAGTACAAGCGCGGTCCTCGAAAACAATGACCACAACAACGTCACCGATCTCCGCCACCACCGGCTGCCAATTTAGAAGACAACTAGACTCCCTCAGAGTCTGCAGAAGAGGCAACAAAACCACATCCGAGGAGCCCCCGGCCAGAAGGAGATTCGATTCTTCCTCTGCAGAATCGCCACAAGACGAAACACCGCCTTTTGTGTGTTGCAGCCAGTCTGTTGTGTCATCTTGCATGGGGATTCTGTGGGTTGCAGTACAGTACTTGAAGATGCGATGGACGGTACCGGTACCGGTAGAACCCTCTAAGAACGCCTTGAAGTTGGGCTCATGGATGGAGATTACGGTACTAGAGATTCGATTCGTACAAGAAGCGTTTTGCTGGATCTTTGCCTCGTTTTGTTCACACTTGTTTTTTCTTTTATTTCAGAGTGTTTATTTGCTATTATTAGAGCAAATAAAAGAATCGAATCAAATCCAGGATTAACCCCGCGTTGATTAATCTAATGTACTTTCGTTTCTCTATTCTTTTGTACATTTTAACAAAACCTTGTTCTCGCATTTGTTCTTGTTCACGGGGTTTCTTCATTCTCTTCAAGAAGCCTATTGCCGGATTTTCTGCTGGGTACCGAAAACTCAGTGCCTTCAAAGGAGAGCACACAAAACAAAGCTCACAAAACAACAAACAACAACAAACAACAACAACAAAACACACACCAACGACTACTAATACTAATACAATCTCTCTACACATATCCACAATGACCTACATTTACCCCCTAGCAGCCAAGGTTCTCTCCGAATTTGTTGGAACCACCCTCACCATACTCTTTGGAGAGTCCATCATTGCAAATGAGCTGCTTGCTAGCACCAAGGGACATGGCATGGGATTTCTTGCGGTCGCCATTGGATTTGGTTTGGCCTTTGGGGTCAACATAGCTTGGTTTGCTACCATTAGTGCCCATCTCAACCCTGCCATGTTTTTCTTTTTGGCGCTCATTGGAAAAGTGGAATGGAAAGAATTTCTGGCCTGCTCCTGTGCCAATTTTGCAGGAGCCTTTGTGGGAGCCGTCCTGGTGGCCATCTTCTTCATGCCACATTTTGGATTCTCTATTCCACTTCCTTCCAATACCAGTGATACCGCTACCTATATTGAAGGACCTGTCAGTATGGAAACCAATGCTGGAAGACTTGCCTCTGCATTTGGACCAGCATCAAGAAAGAGGGAAAGTGTAACCATTGGTACTGAAATTAGATCCTTCTTCCACTTGCCCAATGATGAACAATTCCTGCAATTCCTGCAAGGCCACAACACAAACACACAAGTTGTGCCTGAAGATGTCAGTCGCTTGGAAAAGATGAAAATGAGACAATCAAGGCGCCAGTCGGTCACACTACAAACAGCACCTCCCACTCACTTGGAGTTCTTCAACCACCACTCTGTCAATTTGGCCGAACTAGCACGTGCAAGGGAGCTCACAGAAGATTGTACCATTGAACCACTGCGTCATTCTGTGCAAGTGGCTGGGCTCTTGCGTGCTCACGATGCCAACAATAATGATATGCAGCCAAAGGAGGAGGACATTGAGGCTGGCTCCACCCATACCGCCCAAACTGACGAATCATTTCAAGTAGGAGTGCCAGCTCAGACCAAAGTCAGATTCAACAGCGAAGTTGGAATGCCAGCTCAGACCAAAGTCAGATTCAATGGAGAAATTGAGGATATTATGGATGTGGAAACCCCATCAATGACGGAGGATCCCAGCAACAACGACATGGCTGCTGCAGAAGAGCAAGAAGACCCTGCCATGATGGCCTACAAGGCTGCCTTGCAGGCCGATGCCAGTGCCAAGCTCTCCATTTTTGCAACCCGACCTGCCATCTACAACCGCCCTTGGAACTTTTTGCAGGAAGCGATTGCCACAATGGTCTTGGTGCTGGGTGCGGAAATGTTCAATTTGCGCAAGGAATTTCATACCGAACTCAGTGGTGCAACATGGCAAGATGGCTCCTTCTTCCAGTCCTTGTATGTTGCTCTGTACATTACCTTGTTGGTTCTTGGCTTGGGAGGAACCACTGGATTGGCTGCCAATCCAGCCCGTGATCTTGGCCCACGCCTGGCCCATTATCTGTTGCCACTTCCCGGCAAAGGATCGAGTGAATGGCACTATGGATTGGTGGTTCCTCTCTGGGGACCCATGTTTGGTGCGGCCATGGGTGCTGGTATCTTCAAGTTGATGGAAGCCATGTATGAGATGGTGGAAATTGTTGGTGAAGAAGCCAACGAACTTTAAATATTGAAGTTGCTGGTGACATGATGATGCTGTCATAGAGATAGAGGCACTAAAGATAGAAAATAATTTTGATAAAGAAATGCCAAGGAACAGTTGAAAATGCATACTAGAGCAATAGCTAGCTAGATAGCTTTGGTAGTAGCGTATCATAAGTGCTAAGGGGAGAAAACCCATCCCATTTCAAAAAACGATTTCTGAGGCTTCCATACCGTAGGATGTCCTGGTTGCGTCGAAGCTGATAGAGAAAGTTAGCATCGGGAGAATTCTGGATGGCAAGTCAGATGCGTTTGCTGAAACTCATTGCTGGCATAAGGAGTGCTATGGTAGCTGGCTATTCCAACTCGGAAGTGAGCGACAGCCTACCGCGCGTACGATCTGTGCATTGGAACCTTTGGCGACGAATAATGCAGAGGCACAGCTTTGTTTGTCAATCAGCTCTGCTGGGTGGAGGATTGGAGCAACAACATCCACCCGAACCCCACACAACCAGCTTCACCATTCAACGCCACCACCACAAACCACCTGCTGCATCTCCATCTACATCTGCGGTAGCTTCTAATATCTAATAGAATAGATGATTGAGAATATGGAGGAAGCCAAGGTTGAACCGGTTAAGGAGGGAGAAGAAGCGACAGCCGCACCACCACCACCACAAGACCAAGGGGTGGAAGAAGTAGCCGTAGCAGCTGCAGAAACAGTAGCAGCTGCAGTAGCTAATGCTCCTGATACCAGTACCACCACCATGAAAGAGGACACCCCCGAGGAGCAAAAAGAGGAGACTACCCCTACCCCAACCACCACCATGAAAGATGAGATACCCGAAGAACCAAAAGAAGAGATACCCGAGGAAAATCCACCAAAGAAAGAAGATAACGAGGAGGAGGACGAAGGAGAAGAGGAAAAGTTGGTGCGACTACAAGAAGAATCGATTCAGTTGCAACAAGACAAGATTAGTCTTCAGGAAGATCGTTTGAAATTATTGGAAGAGAAATTGGAACTGCGTCGCGAGAAAAACTCACTGCTGGCCGAACAACGCACTCTCGAAGCGCAGACTAAAAAACGCAAACGCCAAGACGACGAACACGAAATTGCGGCACTCCAACAACGAGTTGCGGCACAAGAAGTCGAGTTGGCGGCTCAAACAGCACTACTCCAACAAAACGATGCCAAATTACAGGCGATACTGGCACAACAGCAACAACAACCAGCACCACCCGAAGCCGCGGCTGCTGTAGCGGCCGCCGTGGCCGCCATGGATCCCATTGTCGTCGTTCAACCACACATTCTCGAACCAGCCGTCGTGGTCGATCAAGCCGTCGTAGAACCAGTGGTAGTAGTGGATCCACAACAAGTACAACAAGCGCAACCACCACCTCCTCCCATGGACCCCAATATCATTCATTTTGGAATTTGAGAACGTATACTGTGAACCCACCATTATTACAATCAACTTTTTCAAATGGGACAATTGAAAAACATTCCGTAAAAGATCATACACGACACTCGGTTTTTCATCTACGGGTTTCCAAAGTACAGTACTGTCAGCAATGGAAATAAAAAGCACCTTGGAGGGATTGACTTGGTTGAAAGATAATTACACCAGTGATAGAAACCTGAGTATTAAATACTATGGACCAGTCCTCTTCCACTTTGCACCGCGAGTGCCATTTCATTCATCGCTTTCACTCCTCAACCTGCCTGAAAATGAACTTCCCGTACAGTGTGGGTACCGGTAGTCAATCTGCTACGGTAAACTCGCTTGTCCGTCGAAGGGTCCTACGTGCACTCTTATTACTGTACTGTACTGTACTGTACTGTACTGTACTGTACTGTACTGTACTGTACTGTACTGTACTGTACTGTACTGTACTGTACTGTACTGTACTGTACTGTACTGTACTGTACTGTACTGTACTGTACTGTACTGTACTGTACTGTACTGTACTGTACTGTACTGTAC